GGCTGGATTTGAGTAGAAGAGATGAGTATGAACTCATGTATCCTTTAACATATGTGCAGATAACAGGTACAGCAATAAATATAAACGTGTGCACACGGGTTAGTGTTTTATGTATATTTCTTCAACTTGTCCACTGAGGGGGTCTAAAACAATAACTTTCATAGCAATAAGCATACCTAACCCCATATTAGGTTTTTTAAAATATAATTTCCCTCTAAAAAGAAACCAGGTCTCCTCTAGGAGTGGAAATTCTATGTCTGCAATGGGGAAATGAACCTGGAGTATCTTCTGGTTCTAGAAAACAGCAAAGTGCTAAAAAAGAAAGGGAACATTGGGAGCATGTCAAAACTACACAGAAGTCAGCTCAGCTCTCAACAGCAAAAACTGGAACAATTGGACCAATTAAAAAAATATGTGTCATAACCCAAAGAGTAATATAAATATGTATTAGTCCAGACGGATATAAATAAATGATTTAATGAAGAAAGAAATGAGATAAAAGGGACAAATCGCCTTTGCAGAATTTAAATAATAAATGAAGAAGAAATGAGGGATATAGAAAATCACCTTTTGAATGACACAGAAGTGATTGCTGCAAGAAAATTCTATATGTGAATGATAAAATTAGTGAGTGAAACTTTAAGGAGAAATAGGATATTTACATAGCCTCAAAATGTCTTTTCTAAAATATTTATTACAGTGGTGGTTTTAACGAATGCCTGCCTTTGTTTTGATAGTCCTTTCTCTGGGAGGTGGAGCTCATTTCTCTTCCCCTTGAATGTAAACTAGACATTAATTCACTTCTAATGAATGGAGGATGGAAGAGAAAAAATAGCAACTTTTCAGTGAAGACATCTAAAAGATGTTGGGGAGGAAAAATTGTATTCTTCCCTTCAAAGTTTCCTTCAGCTGGTCCAAGAATTAAATTGACATGAGACAGATTAACCGGAGAAAATAAAATTTAATTTCATATGTATGAGAGTTCCACATATACGAGAGGCACAAAGACAAAAAAGGTAAAATGAAGTCTATAAGTCATCCTGAGTTAAGGAATGGGAAGGGATCTGGGCCTTCAAAGAGGGGGAGGGAAAATCACAGAGCAATAAGAAGAAAGGTACATGTTTGGTAACTGGATGTTTGTCCTGCCACACAGATGGGTCACTCATATAAAATTTATCTTTGGTGGAGTGCCTGGGTAGCTCAGTTGGTTGAACGTGTGACTCTTGATTTCAGCTCTGGTCATGATCTCAGAGTCATAAGATGGAGCCCCATGTCAGGCTCCACACTCGTGGGGAGTCTGCTTGAGATTCTCTCTTTCCATCTCTTTCTGTCCCTCCCCCTGCTTGTGCATGCTCTCTCTCTCTTTTTAAAATAAATAGATAAGTCTTTTTAAAAAAATTTTGTCTCTGGCAATAACTCTTATTCTGGGAAAGATCTCCAATTTAGATCCCCCTATGTAGTTAAGGGAGGGGAAAGTTTCTCTTGAGCCCACAGAGTCTTGATTGCCTTCAGCTCAAAACAGTCTACAAACTAGAGAGGCACATCTTGGGGAGACTTTAACCAAGTAATCATGGTTTACTACACCAATGACGCCATGTTGGTATCATGAGTATACTGGGTGTCCTTACATGATGTGATGAGAGAGGTACTTCAACTGTATGAAAGTCTTCCTCCCAAACCATAAATCTATTTGAATCATGGCATAATATTATCACACTGAGAAGACATTCCACAAAATACCAGAACAGTGCTTTTCAAAAATGTCAAAGTCATGAAAAACAAGGATAGTCTGAGAAAGTATCTCAGATGAGAAAAGACTAGAGATATATATTGATCTTTAAAAAAGAAAGAAAGTTGCCCCCATTTGTAGATGTAAATATAATAAAAGATGAGCAAGATCTTGAAAGGAAAAATCCTATAGTTAAAGAGAACAACTAAAAACCATAAAACATCAGTGAAAGAAACTGAAGATGACACAAATAAATACAAATATATTCCATGTTCATGGATTAGAAGAACTGATACTGTTAAATGTCCATACTACCCAAAAATAATTGTGTTATGCAACTAAAACAATGTGTTATTTTTGTAACAACAACAAAGTCTCTGAAATAGGAGGCTCTGGGTATGTGCATGAATGTATGTGAACTTCAGTATGGCAAATAAGGAGATATCAACCAAAATATTCTAGAATTATTAGCTTTCCAAAAGGAGAACGATGATAATGATGGTGATGATGATGATGATGATGATGTCACTATCGAAAAAGTAAATTACGGATATATTAAAAATCTTAATATAAAAAGAAAATCTCCAAGGACTTGAGGTAAAGAAGGGTTTCTTGTCCAAAACACAAAAAGCATAAATCATGATGAAAAGTGAGTAAATAAAACTACAACAATTCAGGGTGGAAGCAAAACAAGAGGTAACTGAAACACCAAAATAAAACAAAACAAAATCAGAATGGGAGAAGATATTTGCAACAAATGTTTAACAATAAAAACAGAATGCATGTGTTCATGAAACTTCTAATTCCAGATATGGGTTAAATTTCAGATGTGGGTAGGTTAGGGTTTGATTTCTGTTTTCTGAAATTCTCTTACATTGCCTTCAGCTTAGTACTGAGGTTGGTTTTCGCCATGGCCACTATAGCTACTAATTCTAGCTGTAGCTTAGTTCACAAATATGATGAAAGGGAAGGTCATATTTTACATTCATAAAAGAGCCTCTAACTTAATGTTGATGGTTCCACACATGAATCAAGCCCTGGTTAAGGGACATTTCATGGGCTGATACAATCAGGAATGGAAGTGTTCTTATGGGTTCAGATTTACCATAGTGAGCCCTGCAGTCTCCACCAAAATCTCAAGGTTGCCATCAAGCCAGGGATAGCTAGAATGGCTGCCAGATAGGCAATCCCAATGTCCACTATAGGATCTCAATATGTTTTGATCAAAATTTGTTAGCAGATATCTTTGGAAAAATAAAAAAAAAAGATTTGTTTAATTATAACATATTAGAGGAGAAAAGTAGAAATAATGAAAAAGGATAATACAAATGTTACTATAAATCACTTTTTTTCTGGAGAAGTCTATAGGCACCTACCATTTGCTTTGTGTACTGTATCAGACTCCTAATCAAACTCTTCTTCACAAACTCCTTGCAATACACTCTACATTGCAACCAAAAGGATATCTATAAATTTCAAGCAAGTGTATGCCCGGTCCATATTTTCCCAGTGGTATTGGAGTGTGGGAGTGGGAACGTGACTTGTGGCTTACCAGTCTCTGAGGTATAACCACAGCCAATTTCAAGCCACCCTGAAAATTTAAAATCAGCTCTCACAAGTCTATATAACCCAGCTCAACACCACTACATAGAATTTTCAATTGTTTCTGAAGACTCATAGAGTTGTCTGTCTTATGATCTCCTGTGATGTGTATACTTTCCCTCTCTCTCTAAAGTTTTATCTTGCCATCTGCCCCTCAGACATCATAGATACACTAAACTCTTTGTTACTTCCCTGAATATCCCCAATTCTCCCCAGCTTAAAGACTTTTGCATGCATCCCCCTTCATCATGCCAACTCTAGTCATCTTTATGAGTTCGGTTTAGAAGTCTTCTAAGAAAAAAATGTTATCCCCTCTTGCCTGAGTTAGAAACTCTTCCTACATCTTCCCAGAATCCTATACTTTTCCTATCATAGCCTTTATCACTCCATGTTGTAATCACATATTTCCATAGGTCTATATCTCTTACTATGAGCAACTTGAGAGCAAAAACCTCCGTCATTCTCTATCATACATTAAACTTCTACCACAGCACATGCACATAGTTGACATTCTCCAGATATTGTTGAATGGATTAAAAATCAGATTAGAATACATATATATACACATACACACATATATATGTATATATATATAAAATGAGTGTGTATGTGTGTGCATGCTCTGGCGAGGCAACAACTAGTAGAGAAGAGTGTGAAAGAATTTTTGCATACATGGTGAACAAGAAGCTAAGAGTAGCCTATGGGTATGAACTTATGGACATTATGAATGACACAGTTTAGTATCAAGAGAAGGGAATTCATTTATAAATGTGAAACATAAGCACTTTAGCAGTAGATAAATCAGGAATCACATATATCAGAAGGAGGTTTAACATCAAAATGCCACCTTGAAAAGATAACCATTAATATCCCTAGGGGATAGGAGGAGCCACACAGAAGTGAGGGTTTCTGCCATCTTCCCTGCACATCTCACCACCACCCCACCTCAGCCTTAGCAGCAGCAACAGCACCAATAACAACGCCAGCATTATTTAGTACTTGTAGGTCTATTTTGCCTCATTACAACTGATAAGGTCATTGATATTTTTTTAAGATTTTATTTTATTTTATTTTATTTATGTATTTATTTAGAGAGAGAGCACAAGCAGTGGGAGGGGCAAAGGGAAAGGGAGTGAGAGAACCTCAAGCAGACTCTGAGCTGAACATGGAGCTCAATGTGGGATTCAGTCCCAGGACCCTGAGATCTTGACCTGAGCTGAAATCAAGAGTAGGTTTCTTAACCGAGTGAGCCACCCAGGTACCTGAAGGTCATTGATATTATCACACGTCTTTTATAGATGAGGAGAAACAGATCAGGGAGATTAAGTAACTTGCTCAAATTCACACAGGTAATAAGTGACAGTTATCAAAATTTAAAACCAGATCTGTGAGATTCCAAAGACTTATTTTTTACTTCTCTGTTTTGCAGTTTCTCACCAACCTTTGAAGAACAAATGTTGATACTGCTCTCAAAGTCCCCAGTCTACACCATCCTTTATGTATCAGGGCATATTGGAATCTCAGCAGCTGACTGAAACAAAATCTCTGAGGCTTGACCCTCCCCACCTCAAATGTAGTAAAAATGTATCTTGAAGATAATGATAGATTTTTATTTGAGTTTTTACAATGCTGATGTCAGCTAAAGTCAGGAAGTGTTTTTCTGTAATTAAAAAAATATATGACTCATTTTCTTTTTCAGTGGGTGATTGGGAGTTGGGTTTAGAGAAAATTCATAAAACGGGAATTTTTCTATTTGCCTTCTTTAAACCTTATTAGGCAGCGGAATAGGTAGGTAAGAAGAAAGACACTGATTTTGCGAACAACTTTGGAGCGGTGATCACAGACGTTACAAAACCAAGAATGTCTAAAGAAGTATATTTTTCCTTCCATATCCAAACATACTAATGGGGTTTATAATTGGAACAGAAGAAAATTGAGTCAAATATTCAAGTTTCTCATGATTGGTGCCCTAAGAGAGCAGGATTGCGTTTTGCAGGCTCCCATCCTCCCGAGTTCTTGGATGAAGCTCTCACTCACTGGAAATTTAAGCTTGAACTTCCTTGCTCTCAGACTTATTTTCATCAGGAGGCATTCCTGTTTGTACAGAATTGGAAGGAGTGGAAATCACCTGGAAAATAAAATATCAATGTCCAAGAATAGGATCATCACCTCCCTCTTCTTCCAACCCTTCCTCAATTATCATGATCATCACCAATAACATGTGATTGCTGATCATTACTGTGCTGAAGTTTTATGTACATGATCCTCACAACAAACATTAGAGGAGCATGAAAATGTTTTCATCTTATACTTGAGTTACTTAAAATCTGGAAAGAATTCATAATTTTTTCCTGGCTATACAACTAAAAACTGATAAGTTATGAGTAAATAATTGAACCTAATTATATCTGAATAAAAATGTACTAAATGTTATTATAATATTTATTATTTTGTACTAATGTATTATTATTGATATTTTAATTTATTGATTATTATACTAATTATATTACTATAACATGATACTATGATTTTATACATGTATTGAATATTATATTAAATACACTGTTTCCTCATTTTTCCAGCCTTGATTCCATCCCACATATTCACACCATCTCTAACTCCAGGAACCCCACAAATCATTACTGCATAATTGTGTATTTCCAATTCTGGGACTCAGTGAGAACCTCAAACCCTAGCAGTCCATGTGAATTATTAGTTATGGAAACAAACCCACCTCAGTCGAATTACGTGAGTTTTCTACGCACCACATGGCTGAGACAGAGATGCTTATGCACAATTCCAACAAGGTAAGGATCAGCATTAGGGACATCAGGCCCTAGGGGATATGATGTCTCATATCAAACCCAACACAAACATTCAGAGGGGAAAAAGTGTCATCAGGAAACCAAATATAACGTCTCCTGCCCTTAGAACAAAGTGAACCACAGATTAGGTTTAAGACATAGACATACACAAACACTCTACAAGAGACAATTTGCCAACCTAAAAACATGGAAATACTTTCCCTAGAGAGAGATACTTTGCATTTATCAATGCACGTGAGGTAGTCATGGGTAAAGAAAATGTAGAGGCGAAATGCTGATACTCTCATTAACATCTACTAATTTAAATCATAGCAAACTAGGCAGACAAGTAGGCAGTTAAGGAAAATAGACAAAAATGACCCCTCCACCATTTCATTAATGGAATTTCATTAGCGGTTTTATGCATTTACACCATCGCTAGCAACCAAACACTAAATGGAAATATTAAACACAAAATCACTAGACTAGCAATTCCTCTGTTATCACTGAGGCACCTTGAAGAAGCAAATATAAAATTGCTCCAGAAGGAAAATACTATGAAATCCACAGGAATAAAAAATCAGACCAATATAAATATAAACTTATATAATTAAAAATACAACTTAGTATGCCTCCATCAGAAAGGATGAATACCCAACTCTTGTAGCAACATGGACGGGACTGGAAGAGATTATGCTGAGTGAAATAAGTCAAGCAGAGAGAGTCAATTATCTTATGGTTTCACTTATTTGTGGAGCATAACAAATAGCATGGAGGACAAGGGGAGATGGAAAGGAGAAGGGAGTTGGGGGAAATTGGAAGGGGAGGTGAACCATGAGAGACTATGGACTCTGAAAAACAATCTGAGGGTTTTGAAGGGGCGGGGGTGGGAGGTTGGGGGAACCAGGTGGTGGGTATTGGAGAGGGCACGGATTGCATGGAGCACTGGGTGTGGTGCAAAAACAAGGAATACTGTTATGCTGAAAATAAGAAAAAATAAATAAAAAAAAACAAACAAATACAAAAATTAAAAAAAATACAACTTAGGACAAAATGATGCACAAACTTCTATGCCAGCACACAGGAGTTAGTCAGTAAAAATAGATCACAAAAAAGGTCATCATGGAGAAAAAAGGTAAATTTGAAGGAAAATCTTAATTCTAATTGGACCTCAGAAGGAGAATTTCTAACACAAACAATAAAGTCATTTGAAAAGGTTAAGGAACTTCCCTCTAAAAGGAAGACAACCGCCAAAATTCAGAAGTCAGTCTTGATTTGAAAATCCCAAACTACAAAGAACACTGCATTTCTCCCAAGTAAGTTTTATTAAGGAAGATGTGAAATAATTTTTTTTTCAATTTAACTGCTATGGAGAGTGTAATAGTAGTAATAATCAATATTAATAGTATAACACAATGTGCATGGTCTCAACAGTTCATCAAATATTAACTTGTTTAATTCTTACACCAACTCTGTAAGAATGAAACTATTATCATCCTCTTTTGAAAGATGAGCAAATTGAAGCACAGAAAGATTGTCTAATTTGACCTTCATTACAGAGCTAATACATGGCCAAGCCCAGATTCAAGTCAAGGTTACATGATACCTGATACATTATTCTTCTGTACATTTTGGGTTGTTTGAAATATTTTATAATTAAACATAATTTTGGAAAACATACGTTTGAAAAGATGCCCACGTAAATGCATAATTCCTGTGACTGTGAAGACTCACAGTTCTTGAAAGACTGCTTATTAACTGCTAAATTTACTGAGAGAAAAACAAACCCAACTAGAGCCACAGTAGCGCTGGCAATATTCATTCCAAAAGTGTTTTGCACCTAAAAAAAGAATAGGAATTTTCATTTAATATAGGAAGCACATCCTTCCTTCCTTTGGTGGTGGTTCATTTAAATAAATATCGATTTAAGGTTCTTTACACACCCAGAATCATCTTAGATGCTGGACACACATCACAGAATAAAGATCCATACCCTCATGGAGCTTACATTCTAGCCGCAAAGACAAAGAAAACAATTAAGCATACAAATTGGTAAACTACGTAGTATTTTTAAATAAGTATTACGGCTAATGGAGTGGAGAGAGGAGGACCTGGACATCCAGAGAGAAGCAGAAGTTGTAGTGTTAATAGGAATGAGGCCCAGGAAGATGCAGTGAGGAGCCCGATACAGGACGGGATCCTGGAACTCCAGGATCATAACCCAAGCCAAAGGCAGTTGCTTAACCAACTAAGCCACCCAGGTGCTCAGAAGTCTTCAGTAATCTTAAGGAGAATAGTTATGGAGATGGGATAGAGAAGAAAATAAAGCCTTTAGGAATGAGTTTAATTGAAACTGTATATATTTTTTCTATTTAGAGCAGTAACTGGATGCTTATAGGCTGATTAAAAAGATCTAGCAGAAAGACATTTGGAATGGTGCACTTGGATGGAAAAAAAAAAAAAAAGAACCGAATCTAGTATTCAAGGAGGGATACCTGCTTTGAAGAAAATAGTAGAGAGGTCACCTGCTGTAAGAGGTTAGAATGAAAAGAGAAATGGTACAGATCTGGTCCACTAAGTGGATATTAGAGTGGGGGTCTGAACGTTCTTCTCCAGTGGCTTGCGTTTCTCAGAATAGGAAGCAAGGTCATCAACAGAGAATAACGGTGAGAGAAAAGGGATTGGTGTCCAAGGTGGCCGTCCAGGGAGGGGGCAGAGAATGAGCTAGAGAAGCTGTGTAGCTGGGCAGATGATTTAGAGAGAACACATAATAGGGGCATGGTAAGTGTTTAATGAATCACTGAAGGGATAGAACTTTTTGCTTTCAGTTGTGGAATCAGTGGTAGAAAGTGTATGCTCTAAGTAATTAGAATTCATCAAGTTTCACAACACACAAAAATCAAGAAGCCTTTTTCTGAGCTTCAGATTCATCAACTATTAAAGGTAACCAACCCAATAATCACTCGAATCTCTATGACTTTCTGACAATTTACCATCTGAGTGCTTTAAGAAAAGAGAATTAATTTTCTTGTGCATTACATGAGACTTGGTGTCTCAGTTGGATTCACCAACCTCTACTCTCCTGCTATTAATAGATAATTTATTTCAAGTCCTATGATCATAGGAAGACAAGAAGAACTGCCACTTACCAGTGCTCTTATGGGTTTTCTCCCAGCTGCAACAGATAAGGATTCTGAAACAATGAACTGCTTGAACACAGGAAACAAAGCAGATTAGAGAATACTAAGTCTCAACTATTTTTTCTTAGTACTCTTTGGATTAGTAGCTATTTAGCAATGGTTGTACAAAGATTCTTTTTTAAATTAACATTCTACCACATGGAATTATAATTGATGTCGTTCATTTTATAGCAATGAAATTTTAAATTCATTAAAATTTTGAGCAAATATATATTACCATTATGTTTTATGTCTGGCTTTTTATAGGTTACATGAGTGTGCATACTTTAAAAGTATAATAAATACATATATTTAATGTAACATAATTTATATTTATAGTAAATGTAGATAACATTTATTTATATGCACATTCATATGTAACATTATTCTCATGTTCTTACCCAGGCTTCAGATAAGGGTTTGATTCATGGATTAGATGTTTGTTTTTTTTTTTTAAGATTTTATTTATTTATTTGACAGAGAAAGAGATCACAAGTAAGCAGAGAGGCAGGCAGAGAGAGGAGGAAGCAGGCTCCCCGCTGAGCAGAGAGCCCGATGCGGGGCTTGATCCCAGAACCCTGGGATCATGAGGTCATGAGACCTGAGCCAAAGACAGAGGCCTTAAACCACTGAGCCACCCATGCACCCTTAGGTTAGATTTTCTTAAAGAACTTCTGCAAATCTGTCTATATTGAAATGTCCACTAATTTTTTAAATAATTATTTTTGATAAGCTATTGTTTTCATGACTCTGATTTGATAAATTGAATTCTCTACAAGTTCATGGTTTTCTTAAAACTTCATTCTGTTTTATGTCTCATGTATCTTACAACCCTTTATCAAACCACTCCTAGGGTTTGAAGGCAAACGTCAAAATCATGGAGAGCTAAAGCTTGCTACATAAATTCAATTCTTGAATTCTGACTGAACATGAAGGAACGGGTTTTGAATTCCACTTCAGATAACAAAGTGGTTATCACAAGAAACTCCAGGCTCATTAGAGCCTCATGGTCAAGAGCATATGCTCTGTGTCTTGATGCCATCTTAACTTGTATTCATTCTGTATCCTGAGGCAAACTGTCACACCCCTCCTTGCCTGCATTTCTTTTTCTGTAAGATAGAGATGTTCATATCGCCATGTCACTGATCTTATAGTTATATGGGGATAAAATGAAATAACACATGGTAAGGTACTAGATATGAGCCCAGCATACATAAAGCACCTATTAAAAACAGCTAAGGTTTTTATATATTTTTTCCACTTAATTTCCTAGTGACCCAATGAGAATGTCCTTGTATTATTTCTACTATCCTAGGAAACTGGAGGGCAAGAGCTGAAATATCTTTTCCAAAGGCACATGGTTTAATAAGGATTAGTAAGAGGAAGATCGGTAAATAGAAGGAATCACACATCAGTGTGTGTAGATAGCAGGGTCTGTATACAGAAGAAAGAGGAGGGAGACAAGGATATAGTAAGGCCAGATAAGAAACGCTTTGTTCCATGTCATGGATCTTAGACTTTGCTCCGCTGGTGATACAGAGCCAGAGAAAAGCTTCTGGCAATGGGAATCCAACAGTCAGACTTGAATCTTAGTCTTGAGGATGCCTTAAAAGAGTGAGCTCTAGTTCCCTGACCACTTTTTTTCAACAAACTGACCTCAGCTTTCTGAGAAAAGACTATTCCTTTCCAGTTGAATAATTGAGACTCTTTATTATTCTCTTTTCTACAATATGGAAATTTCCCATTTAGATAGGATTCATGATGCAGAGAAAATGTGTACTCCTGATTTTCTGGAAAAAAAATCCAGATTCTAGCTAGGTCATCTAAATGATCATATTAACTACTTAAACATTTCAGAAATGTTAAATCCAAATTACATGTGTTAGACTATATCCAGAAACTGAATATAATCTTTTGTCAGAACATGAGATCTGATTTGGGTCAAGAAATTTTGACCAGATGATGAGCAATTTTGTTTTACAGGACATCTGAAGGTCAATGATTTTGGAAAAAAAAAAAAAAAAGTATGAATAAATCAGAGCCCAAAATTTGCTATAAATTTTTCTTCTTCATTTGCCAATTACACGTTCCATTTACCATTTTCAGCTAACCCTTCCCATCTTTGATATGTCATGGTAGCACCTTTGTTTGAGACCAAACACATATAAATTCTCGAAGTTCTAATACCAGAATCTACAAACAAAACAAGCCCTACCTAATTAACAAATACTTCCTACTAATCACCTTTTAAAAAAATGAACCATCAGGTAGGTGATGGTCAAATAACAAAGCTAAATAAATAAATTTTAAGATCACCTAGGACCAAAGCCTATTTTATTGATTACATTTTGACCTAGATAGGGGAAATCAATCTTCTGATTTCCAGACTGTGACCAGCAGGCAAATCTCTTATGTCTCAAACCAGGACTCTCTTGGCTACACAAGACAATTCACCAATACTCAGTTTTCATTTGATTTTCTTAGTATCCATAACACCTGGGTTTAATACATGAATACATTAACTTTATGTTTGGGACTTAAGTTGTAGTCAGAAAATGGGATTTCTCTTAGTCAGAAAGGCACTTTGTTTTTAAAACGTGTAAAGATTACAAAACAAACCCATAGCAGGCAATCTTCAAATCACCTAAGAACGACACTATAATAATCCAACACATTTCTAGCAGTGGTATCTATGCAGTGATCTCTGGTCAGGGGAATACGAATACTCACAAATATAGGGCCCCACAGTGGATAGGCTGTGTAGAAGATAAAGAAAAACAGACTGAAGAAATGGGATATGTTTCTTAAGGAACCTAGAAAAACACCTAGAACCAGAATAATTGCTCCACTCAGGATCTGGACGGCCTGTAAGAAGCAGGGGGGGAAAGGCATAATGGGCATATACTAATGTACATGGAGAAGAGACCATTTTCATTTCCTTCAGAAAGCAGGTATCATTGCTTGAAATGATTATAAAGTCAACTAATTTAACTGGGTTAGGGCTTACATTTGGAGGTTTTCATCCCATGCTATCACCATGGATCCCAGGGGCAGCCCTTCATCTCCACCTCTCCCCCTGCTCCTGTTTATTCTCACAAACCCCTTCCACAAAGTGGCAGAAGAGTAGAGGCAACATGGCTGACCTCATAGATAAGGTCAATCATCTTCCTGGCATACTTTAGGGCCATAATATGATGGGGAAGGCACCCAGACATTAAACAACAGTTCATTAAGCCTTTCCTCAACACAATTTTTAAATTTAAGATACGGAGTATGAGTTCATAAGAACTCAGCCTCCTGATGTGCCGCTCAGACTGGAGTCCATTCTCCAATGTTTCCTACTCTCCAAGTCTAAAGTAGATCCTGGTCTTTTCTTTAAAAAGTACATTATTGACTCAGTATTGAATAACTTAGATTCCCCCTGATGGGAATAAACAAGGTTTTTCATATGATAGGTATTTTCTTCTATCTTAAACCTTTTTTTAAACTAAGGTTGACATACCCCAAAGGCTTGTAGTTTCTCCTTCAGGTGATTTTGCAATTCATTGATGGGCTGGTAGACAGAGTTATTTATCACCTCTGGTTCCGCCTGGCTTGCTGGGGGATCACCTGCTGAGGCTATCCCAGGTTCTTCATTACCAACTCCTTGGGAGGCCATCTGGGGTTATTGATGGCTGTCACAAAAAAAGAAGTCCAAAGGATTGACGTTTTCCCCTTTACTGTTAGCTAAAAATTTTTGAGTGTAACAGAAATGTTTGATTCAAAATGACTTCAAAATGGCGCAACAATTTACATCGTTGAGTTTCATTTTGTCTTGGAGTAGTAATCATTAGACTATTGTTGTAAGTCTGGGTGTCTCATTTAACCTTGAAACAGTGAAGAGTGATTCCCTTCTCTTTTTTATATACAGGTATGCATTATTACACAGGCTCCTCTCTCTGCAAATCTGTCCTAGACAACCAGACAGATGGCTTCACTGAGCAGTGAACTCTTAGGTGAGGAAGATGCCTTTGGTCATATTCCTATAATAACAATAGGTATAATTTATTGAGTACTTACTGCTACCCAAACGTCGTCTAGTTCCTGCAAACGAGTGAACATATTTAATGCTCCTGACAGTCTATGTTGGAATATTATTCCCACTTTAAAGATGAGGAAATGGAAGCATAGAGAGGTTAAACCACATACCCAAACTTACACCTTTCATAAATGAATTCAACTCTACTAGAGACATTCTACTTTAAGGTCCAACATTTTTTTTTAAATCATTATGTTGCATAGTATTATAGGGGAAGATAGCCTTCTGGGCAGCCATATAGCTGTGGATAGTTTACTCACCACGGAAGAGCCAAGTCGGAGTCTTAATTTGGCCATTTACTAGTTGAGTGATCTAGGAATGGGAACCTCAGTGTTCACATATGTAAATGGAAATAATTTTAATTTCATATTAACTTTACAAGGGGCAACTTTGATAAGGTATGAAGTCCCTAACCTAACAAACGGTTGCTAAATGTTGACTTTAACTTACACTCTACCTTGTGTCAAAAAGACTTAAAGTATCATATATAAAGATCACCAAACAACCACCACAATCATTGCAACTAAAAAATACATTATCACTAAAATATACACAGTATGTTCAATCTTGGACAGTATAACTTCATAGTATAAAAACTGATGGGGCGCCTGGGTGGTTCAGTGGGTTAAAGCTTCTGCCTTCAGCTCAGGTCATGATCCCAGAGTCCTGGGATCAAGCCCTGCATCGGGCTCTCTGCTCAGAGAGGAGTCTGTTTCTCCCTCTCCCCTCTGCCTGCCGCTCTCCCTGCTTGTGCTGTCTTTCTTTTTCAAAAAAACAAATAAAATCTTTAAAAATAATAAAATAAAATTTCTCCATTGAGAAAAGTGTGTGTGTGTGTGTGTACATATTTAAAGATTTTATTTTTTTAAGTGATCTCTACACCCAATGTAGGGCTCAAACTCACAACCCAAAGATCAAGAGTCACATGCTCCACTGACTGAGCCAACCAGACACCCTGGGAAATATGCATATATTTTAGATAAGATATCTACTGCTTTAAAATGTATGTAATGTGGGGAGCAGCGCTCCTTCATGATCAGAAGCTGCTTGCCTGTTACTCCAGCTTCATGCCTCCCCCTCCCTATCTCATAGCTCCATCCAGCCATGGTTTCTTTCTTTTAATTCCCCAAGCATCAAGCTCTCAAAAGTCTCAAACCCTCCTTCTCAGTATTATTCCTCTCTTCTTGAACACGTTGTCCCTCAGGCTCCACCTAGATAATGTCTGGTCTTTTTCCAGACTGACCCTTTGCCCACATCCACACTTTTCATGCAGGAAGCCCTCTTCAGTCCTGCCCAAGTCTGGAGGAAGCTCCCTGTTATTAAGAATGTCTTCTTCCCTTTTTATACCACTTACCCTTCTAAGCCTCCAGTGACTGCAAGCTCAGCTGTATCTGCTGTCTTCCCAACATAAGACGTCAGTGCCTATGTCGGTGTCTGTCACACGCTGGACACTCAGGGAATACATGCTTAACAAATAAATAAATTTTTGGTCCAGCTCAGTGGAGCCATGCTGTACTGAAAATCTGTTTTCAAGGATTGGAGCCTCTCCTACAGAGAAACTCCAGAGTACTTCTAGAGGGGGGGAAATTGAGTCTAACCACATCATTTAATAATGATTTTTTTGAATAATTATAATTACCAGGGAGAATTTTCAGCCTTTAGGCAAAATAAATTATGTTCAATAATTTGCTCAATTTAGGTTTTGTTTGTTTGTTTGTTTTTTATTTTTTATTTATTTTGTTTGTTTGTTTTTTAGTGAGAGAAGTGTAGATTTTCTGAGAACCCCAGTTAAGTTCACCCATCTGGCTTTTATTCTGTGTCAGGCATTGTTCTAAGTGTTTTACTCATTCAACCCATTTATCCCTCACATATCCACATAAATAAGTACTACTCTTGTGATCCTTTCCATTTTACAGGCAGGAAAGAGTTATGTCACTTCCCAAAAAACACACAGCCAACAACTGAGGAGAGAGGAATCAGAACCTGGTAACCCGGCTCTAGGGTGTCATTATGATCCCTCTGAGCTTATGCAGAAACCCACTCACTAAATCCCAGGCTTCAAGTGTGTCCAGACCATCCCATTCCCAGAGCTGGCAGCCAAACTTGGAGGCAGCCCCTTGGATTTAATACATCTCAGGGGTGCATGCCTGTGTGTGTGCGTGCACATGCCTATGCATGTCCATGCCCGTGTCTTCCCAAAGAAATAACTATATAATTATATCTAACATTTTGGCACCAGGGAACAATCAAATTCTAAAGAGAAGCCATGCTCTTCTCTGAAATTCCAAATCTCTATATAGCAACCATACAGAAAACTCTGCAGACATCCTCATGGCCCACTGGGGGGCACCCCAAGCAGGTAATTAAAAAGGAGGCTTTCCAATATTGAAAAAGAAAGCCAAAGTTGGTGGCATCACAATTCCGGACTTCAAGCTCTATTACAAAGCTGTCATCATCAAGACAGCATGGTACTGGCACAAAAACAGACACATAGATCAATGGAACAGAATAGAGAGCCCAGAAATAGACCCTCAACTCTATGGTCAACTAATCTTCGACAAAGCAGGAAAGAATATCCAATGGAAAAAAGACAGCCTCTTCAATAAATGGTGTTGGGAAAATTGGACAGCCACATGCAGAAAAATGAAATTGGATCATTTCCTTACACCACACACGAAAATAGACTCAAAATGGATGAAGGATCTCAATGTGAGAAAGGAATCCATCAAAATCCTTGAGGAGAACACAGGCAGCAACCTCTTCGACCTCAGCCGCAGCAACATCTTCCTAGGAACATCGCCAAAGGCAAGGGAAGCAAGGGCAAAAATGAACTATTGGGATTTTATCAAGATATAAAGCTTTTGCACAGCAAAGGAAACAGTTAACAAAACCAAAAGACAACTGACAGAATGGGAGAAGATATTTGCAAATGACATATCGGATAAAGGACTAGTGTCCAAAATCTATAAAGAACTTAGCAAACTCAACACCCAAAGAACAAATAATCCAATCAAGAAATGGGCAGAGGACATGAACAGACATTTCTGCAAAGAAGACATCCAGATGGCCAACAGACACATGAAAAAGTGCTCCACATCACTCGGCATCAGGGAAATACAAATCAACACCACAATGAGATATCACCTCACACCAGTCAGAATGGCTAAAATTAACAAGTCAGGAAATGACAGATGCTGGCGAGGATGCGGAGAAAGGGGAACCCTCCTACACTGTTGGTGGGAATGCAAGCTGGTGCAACCACTCTGGAAAACAGCATGGAGTTCCTCAAAATGTTGAAAATAGAACTACCCTATGACCCAGCAATTGCACTGCTGGGTATTTACCCTAAAGATACAAACGTAGTGATCTGAAGGGGCACGTGCACCCAAATGTTTATAGCAGCAATGTCTACAATAGCCAAACTATGGAAAGAACCTAGATGTCCATCAACAGACGAATGGATAAAGAAGATGTGGTATGTATACACAATGGAATACTATGCAGCCATCAAAAGAAATGAAATCTTGCCATTTGCGACGACGTGGATGGAACTAGAGGGTATCATGCTTAGCGAAATAAGTCAATCGGAGAAAGACAACTATCATATGATCTCCCTGATATGAGGGAGAGGAGATGCAACATGGGGGGTTAAGGGGGTAGGAGAAGAGTAAATGAAACAAGATGGGATTGGGAGGGAGACAAAACATAAGTGACTCTTAATCTCACAAAGCAAACTGAGGGTTAATGGGGGGAGGGGGGTTGGGGGGGTGGGATTATGGACATTGGGGAGGGTGTGTGCTGTGGTGAGTGTGTGAAGTGTGTAAACCTGGCGATTCACAGACCTGTACCCCTGGGGATAAAAATATATTATATGTTTATAAAAAATAAAATTTAAAAAAAAAAAGGAGGCTTTCTCTGAAGAGGGAATTTATAGGGTTTACCTTGGAGGCTTCAGGCCTTGGAAGATGTCTTGCCTCTGAAGTCAAGTAGGAGACACTCGATAATGATGGCTAGAATGTCTTTTCTGGAAAACTGCAGCCTCTTCTGACTCCAACTTAACGTGCCTTTGCCTTGTGCAACAGTGTAGAGGAGTCAGTGGAAACGTGTTGGCTGGAGAGCGTGCTAAGACCACTCTGAGTTCACTGTGCTTCCTGAAGGCTTACCGTTGATTAGGAAAAACTGGCAGCAGGAGTAACTGTCTTCTGGCTTTGAGACATTGCCCAACGCATTGTTGGAACAAGAAATACAAGCAGGACATACAGGGAGGTGGGTGGGAAAGCACTGGGGATGGGCATCGAAGAATTATGTCAAAAAACAAAGAACAAAGTCAGTAAGAGCAGTGTCTAGATGAGGGAGAGTGGTCCCATGCCTCACATTCAGGTCTTACAGGCTTTGAAAGGCTAGTTAAGTTGCCAACATTATAGGTACAAAAAGTATACAAATTGTAGTTTAAATACATTGAATGATTGCCGTGGAGGGGTCATCACTCTACATGTTCTACATGCATTGACCCACCTCCTCCTGTGCTAACTCCAGACCAAGGAACAACTGTTAGCCCAATTTCATAGAAAAGAAGACTATCGCAGGGAAATGTTAACCAGCTTTCCTAACATCAGTCCATACCTGGCCAGGCTGTGTGCAACTTCAGGCTCTGGGTACCATGAGGTGCCGAGCAGTGCCTGTTACCCCCAGTGTGATTTTAATAACACCTCCCTTCATTTTCAGAGGTGTCCCAGCTTAGAAGATGAATTATTGTGAAAATTAATAAAAAGAAACCTTGTTTAAAATGGTATTTGGAAAGGGGCACCTGGGTGGCTCCATTGGTCAAGCACCTGCCTTCAGCTCAGGTCATGATCTCAGGGTCCTGGGATGGAGCCCCAATTCAGGCTCCCTGCTCAGTGGGAATCCTGCTTCTCCTTGTCCCTCTTCTTTTTATCTCTGCTTGTGCTCACTTTCTCATGCTCTCTCCCTCAAATAAAGAAACGAACAAACAAATCTTTAAAATAAAATGGTGTTGGGAGGTCAAAGCAGGGAGCTCTCACACCCTACCACTTCTCAGGATTTCAGACCCCACAAGAAGAGACCTACCTTCTCAAGCTACTTTACCTACTTTACTACCCAGTTCGAGGAAGAAAGGTGCGTCCCTAACAGCGGCCCAGCCAACGAGAGACAGTCACAACTCAGCCAATAAGGAGGCCCTATACTTGGAACTCCTTCTTTAGTCCAATGGACTTTGTGCTTATGACAGCTCTCCCCCAGCTCCCCCCCAGCTTCCTCTCTAAAAGAGCGGTCTTCCCTCCGTTGGTCTGCCTTGGCTGTGGTTTGTTGTAGCTTGCTTTTCTCAAGTTGTAATTCTCTACCATTCCCAAATAAACCCCTTTCTGCTGGTAAAATGACTGGTAGTTTCATTTTTAAGGTTAACATGACATAATCATCCTCAATAGGTAAGTGTCCTTAAGTAGGTGGTGGAACGATCAGAGCCAAGAGACAGTAAGGAAATAAGTAACGTGAGGATTCGCACTGCCATCTTTAGGACAGTCACAGGGCAGGGCTGGTGAGGAAAGGCTGGAAAGGGAAGTCTGTGAGGAAGAGGAGAATGTTCCTAACAAATTGGGTGAGGTTCTAATTCTAGAAACTGGAGAAGAAGTGGGAACTTGGTCACAGAAAAGAGAAAAAGAGGGATGGATATGATGACCCAAGGAGAGCTCTGGGAGGCTGTGAACTTGGGCACTGGATATAAAGTGAGCAAAAGTCCCGCAGCCAGTAACAATATGCAGGAGCTCTGAGATCACGGCTGGCACCTGAGCCTGGGACAGATGCAGGGGAGCGGGGGATGACAGAGAAATTCTAACCGTAAATCATGAGGAAATAGCTAACAGGATGGCAACAAAAATATATTTCTCCTGTTTCACTTTAACCAGAGCCATTGCAAATGGAATACTGAAGAAGAAACAGGAATAGGAGGGGGAGTGGGGAAGGGAAGGGGAGGAGGAAGAGAGAGGAGAACAGAGAGGAGGAGGAGGAAAAAGAGTGGGGTAGGGAAGGGGAGGAGAAGAAGAGGAAGAGGAGGGGGAGAGGAAGAAAAAGAAGATGATGACAAAGAAGAGGAAGTGAGGAGAGGCGGGGGAGGCTTGGGAGAAGAGGAGAAGGGCAGAGTGAAGGGAGGAGGAAGAAGAGAACGGAGAAAAGGAGGGGCAACAAGGGGAGGGAAAGGGAGGAGGAGGAAAAGTGAGGGGAAAAAAGGAGGGGAGGGGAGGAGGAGGAGAAGTAGAGGAAGGGGAGAGAAAGAGGAGGGGGGAGGGAGGGAGAGGAGGTAGATGAGGAAAAGGAGGTGGAGACAGGGGCGGGAAGGGGAGGAGGAGGAAGAAGAGGACAAAGAAGAGAAGGAGGAGGAAGAGGAGGAGGAGGTGGAGGAGGAGGAAGAAGAAGGGAAGGACAAGAAAGTGTCTTCAGGGAAGGAGAGGAAGAAATATGAGTAAATGAAAAAAAAAGTAGTTCCTTTTAACGTACTTGTTTTAAATGTAGAACTGTAAGGGGGTGGAAAGAGCTCTGAAAGGAAGTTACTTAAACTCTAAGACTTCATTTATCTCATTTGTAAATATAAGAGCTAGTGCCCACCTTAGAGAACAGTGCCTACAAAAAGCAAATGACAGAATGCATCTAGACATCTTAGCAACTAAGGTCTTTACATGCATTCAAAATAAATGAATAAAAATGGGAAGCCTCTTCAATTATTTAGGGAGAGAATGATTATGGAAACTGCTCTCGAGAGAAGACTCACAGAAATGTCCTCCACAGGTGTGTCATATCCTCTGATTCCAGTGGCTGTGGAGTGCCAGTGTCCCTGTGGCACGCCCCCACTGTCATGGATCTGCTGGGTCACTGGGCACAGGACCAGACTGGGGCTCAACTTCTCCTACTCACACCAGGTCTCCTCATTCAGCCTCTTTGAGTCCTGGACCATGTGTTCGTGCAACTCCATGGTGACGGTGCCAGCTTCTGCAGGTCATCCACATGGTCAAGGTTGGAGACAATGAGAGAAAGAGGCAAGTTCCAGTATGTTCCCAACCCTGCTGACCTTCAGCAGCACTGGGCTTACCACCAGATGCAAGGACAATAACCTTCCATGCACTTCTACCCCAGTTCCCAAAATGTATTGTTCTTTATGACAAATATGTTATCAATACCATGCATATTGGTTCTGTTCCCCTAATTGAACCCGGTCATAAGGTCTGAGTGATATATCACTACTCTTTCGGTTCTCATTTCTCTATTAGCTTTGGACTTTCTTTCCTATGAGCTGTCAGGAGAATTATCTGATTAGAATAGCATAGAGTCTGTTTCCTCCAGAAATAGCTTTCAATCCTAAAATGCCTTTTCACTCTTCTCCAAAGAAGAAAAGCAGTAAACCCCAGGGAACTCTAATGTTTATATATGTAAGGGCCTGCTTCGCCAGAGCAAGCCATTTTGTTGATTATGCAGTAAACTTAGATTGACCCTGCCCCCCCCAGAGGAACTTACTTAGAAACAAGTCTGGGAAACCAGAAAAATATGACTGACCAGCCCCTGATAACAGAGCCCATATACCAGGACGTGTCAGGTCAGGGGGAGATAACAGAGCCCAGAATACAAGGATAAGCCAAGCCAGGTGGAGACATCCAATCAGGAAAGCACCTCCCTAACCGCCCAAGAATGTGGGCCCTGCCTTTTGGGCGCCATTTCTGACCAGAGTGATAGGCTAGTTCAAATAGCTACTATAGGGTGAATTGTAATTTAGTTGGCCACCTGTGTGTGGCCAGGCTCAACCACATGGCCTTTACTCTATAAAAGTTAGTCTGTGAGGCTGGGAGGGGTCACCTCTTTGCAAGAGATGGCCCGGGCCAGTCGGTTTGATTCTTGATGCTTGGCGAGAAATAAAGCTTTGCTTGACCTTTGCTTTGTATCAGTCTCGCTCCTTTGACCATGGACCCAACAATATACAGTACAAAATCCTCTTAATTGTAGGTAGTTTAGGGTCACTCCTTGTTTATGGGGAAAACTTATAAATATCACTGTTTGTCATTCTGTTTCATTCAGTGTGATCTTTTGATATTTTGGCTCCTATTTTAGAAGAACAGGAGGAATACAGGCTCTATAATCAAAATGGGTTCTTTTTTCATGTGATCCCCTTGCTAGCACTACATCTTACTAAATTTATGTCCTGATTAGAAATAGAAGTGGGCGCCTATACGTATTCTAATTAGTCCTGAACATTGATCGAACATGTGTCTGCTGATATAGTACGGTGGACCAAAGCCCTGTAGTCTCTCACTCATGGTTCCTACCCAGGCCTGGATAGGAACCTTTTGGTACTTTTTGCTCATATAAGAGGTCCACCTTGAAGACCCAGACTCTTGTTCAAGACAAGGCTCACAGCCAGCATGCCCACCCGCATCTCAGTGTCTCCACTGCCCTTGAAGACAGGGCTGGTTTCCAGTGTGCCTGGTTTCTCTGCACGGACTGAAGCTCGCTTGGATTTTTGCAACAGACCTTCTTTCCTTGGATAAAGCCACTGTATAAAGCACTTCATCTTTTATCCACTGTATTTCTCAGGAGAAACTCTCTCTTATGTTACATGACTAGGGGTTCTTGCTCACAAGAGCAAGGGTCTTCTGTTAACCCCCTAGTCTGGGCAAAGGTAGCTCTTCCCTCTGGCCTAGGAGGCTCATAAACCATCATCTTCTCTTCAATGCCCCCTTCATTTGTATCTCCTAGGGTTCCCTCTCTATACAACTGGCATGGAAATTAGACTTTTACTCTTTCTTGGAACCCGAAATAGAGCAATCTGGGCTCCTTCTGACCAGGCTGCTCCCTCTAGTGTCCACATGGGGATACAACACTTGGGAAGCTGCCGACTTCACACTGGGCACCTGCCAGGGCTAAATCAGTGGGATCACTTTGGTCCCTCAGTCAGCAGCACACGTTCTGTAAGGCTACCCTGGACATTATTCAAGCCAATCCTCTGGCCCTTGAACAAGTTCTTAAATTCATCTCCAGTGCTCTTTTTCTACAGTGAGAATGACCTAGAGTAGATACAGCCTTGGTGAGCATCTTCCTTCCAGACTGTCTCTCCCCTCTAGCCTCTGCTGCTAGAACACTGCTTTGCTCTGGCTGGATTGGGACTAAGGTTGCCAGACAAAATTCAGAAGTTCCAGTTAAATTTGAATTTCAGGAAAACAACAACTTAAAAAATATTTAAGTATGCCACATATGATATTTGATTATTTAAATAAAGTCCTGAATATTGCATGAAATACAACAAAAATAATACTATGAGAAATCCAACTTTAACTGGGCATCTTGTATTTTGATCTGCCAAATCTCATCAACCTTACTTAGGGCACAAAGTCCACTCTATTCCCTTGGATCATTTCCTGACCATTGCCAAACATGTTGTCAGCTCTGGGCTACCACTCCACCCCTCGGCCCACCAAGGTATTAGACTTCTGATTTCTAAGTGGCCATGGGGCTCATCAGGAAAGAGTGACAGAACTTGCAGCAAGCCATAGGGGAAGTACATCTACAGGGATCCTGCCCCGATGGACCTGCCCTAACTTTGACCAAGTGAACCTTTCAAGCATTTCCAGTGGCTTCTTGGTAAGTCATTCCCTGAGGGAGCCACCAAGTCACTCTTGCCTCCTTTTCAGAGTCAGCCTACAGGTTTTTAGCAGGGAGTTTTGGGGCCTTTTAATGGGCTATTGGGGGGGGGGTACTCACTACTAGTTGGGCTGTGGTTGAGCTACTCAAGTAGAACTTGCCTGGGTGCCTCAGCCCAAATGTCTTTAGATCCTTACTGCTTCCCACCTCCACACTCCCCCTGCTTCATGATTCCATCTCCTTTCCATCTCTCCACCAAAATCGCTATTGGCCTCTCAATACTTTTCTTTTTAAGAGCATATATTTCATAGAACAACTTTCATTTTCTAATAGAACAATAAATTCCAGCTGAAAAGTCTAACTGATGTACTATTAAATGTATTTCCATGCTGTTAGGTTCATATGGGATGAGCTATCGTGCCTTGTAATCAGGCTAGCATAATTTTTTTTGCATCAGGCTCTCTGAAATATAATTTATAACAATCAGTTTCCTTTGTCAGGTGTATAGTCCTATACATTTAGCCAACATCCATTATTATAAACTCTACCATAAATAAAGCTAAAACAGCTGCGCATCTAATTCTTAGCACGTCGAACTTTTCTTCTCACCTACAGCTGACCTGGAACTCCATCGTGTCGCTGAAAACTACTTCTCAAGGAAAGGATTCCTACTATCACTTGCATCTTTCTGCACTTCCCAAGGAAAACAGGAATGTATTTTCAAGAAGAAAACAGGTGGCGTTTAAGCATGTGAACTGATCAATACCTTGTCTTTGATGAGTTGTGATTACACCCAAGTCCAGTTGTGATTACACCCAAGTCCAGCTTCGCTTCCCTTAAAACTGAGAAATGAAGTATCTATCACTATATTGTCTTTGTAAATGTTCTGGATGAGTCCACCCTTCAGTCACTTACATAGAATGAAACAAAATGAGCATATATACCCAAAAACTTACAAGGCTCTTCAGAGTCAAGGCAGGCTACCTGCTACAACTTAAAAGAGGAACATCTAACCACAGAGACATTCTTGTGATTTTCTTTCTAGTTTTGATTTCCAAAAAGGACTGGCGATTATTTAAGGGACACCTTCACCAAAATAATTCAGCATCTTTTCATGATAAACTGTCAACCAATTACATAGAGATAGAATACACCTTCACATAGTAAAGCCTGCATAAAACAAGCAAGCCCTTAGTGAACACCACACCTGATGGTGAAAAGCTGAAAGCTTTTCCTCTAAGAGTAGGAGAAAATCACCAATTTTAAAAGCAGCTGGGAAATGATTTAACTTATGTTGTTTTTTTCCTTCTCTGTAAAATTGGTGTAATATTCACACATAACTTTGGGGTTATTAGAATCAAGTAAGTAGTCATTAGATGCTGGTAATGTCACCTGACACGTTAGGCCTTACAGAAGGGTTACCTCTTAGTTTTATATTGACTGTAAAAGGTAGATGCCCATTGTGACAATGTTTAAATTCTCTGATGAGTAAACAACTCTAAGCAGCATTTTATTGAAAATGATATAATAGTAGCACTTTAAATTTTTAAAAAATTTAATGAAAATATTTTAATGAAAAATACCTTGGCAAAAATCAGACTCCAGGCTCATGTGACACCAAAATATATATTTACAAAGCGATTGAATAACAAATGGCACAACTTCATTCTCCTAATTGATATAAGAAATATCCCAAAAGTCAAGAGTGACCTTTTTGTTTACATGGGAAGACTCCCTTTTTAGGGAAAAGATGTCTAAAGAAGGAGTCTTCCCATGCAATATACAAAAAAGTCACTTTTTTCTATTTATCACCAGCTACATGATGAATATATCATGATGAATATATCATTTACATATAAATGATGAATATAAATTCATGATTATATGAAGATGATAGCATGGTGGGAAGATACTACCCTTGACCACCTCAATCCATTGATTATTTCAAGTGTGGAAAAATCACATCAGGGAAAGAACAGAAAACCTGACATCAAATTTCAGTTAAGAAAGTGGTTATTTAGGGGCGCCTGGGTGGCTCAGTGGGTTAAAGCCTCTGCCTTCGGCTCAGATCATAATCCCGGGATCCTGGGATCAAGCCAAGGATCATCTCTGCTCAGCAGGGAGCCTGCTTCCTCCTCTCTCTCTGCCTGCCTCTCTGCCTACTTGTGATCTCTCTGGCTGTCAAATAAATTAAAAAAAAAAAAAAGTGGTTATTTAGGGGCACCTGGGTGGCTCAGTCATTAAGCATCTTTCTTTGGCTCAGGGCATAATCCCAGGGGCTCCTGGGATAGAGCCCCGCATCGGGCTCCCTGCTCAGCAGGGAGCCTGCTTCTCCCTCTCCCACTCCCCCTGCTTGTGTTCCTTCTCTCTGTGTCTCTCTCTGTCAAATAAATAAATACAAATCTTTTTTAAAAAAGAAAGTGGCTATTTCAATTCTAGAATATGAATCTAATTTCGTTCTGCAACAATCAAATATGACATACATTGAATTATTTTTAGGAATCGATTTTACCAATTAATTAGGAAAGCCACACGAGTTAAAGTGTCTTCACACAAAAGCACTTTGTCCTGAGAGTTAGTACATTAAATTTTAAACTCTGCACCAGGTTAGTCTCTGGCATATTTAGATACCTATCTCCATTCTTTACTTTTACTAAAAAACATTTAGAACATATTTCTCGAAGGTTCATATCAACTGGATCAAATTATTGTCATTGGGGACATTTTGTTCTACTGTATGGAATAGAAAATAAAATTTAAATGGGTGGTATAAATTACCAATAGTTAACATTAAATTAATAAGCTATACCCCTGATGCAATATATATATATATTTATATATTTGTGTGTGTGTATATATATATACATATATCTTCTCTGAATCAGGGATTTTTAGGGAGAAGATATCTAAGAAAAGATTTATACCAACTTTTTTTAATACAAAAAGACAGGTTTTTCCAACAAAATTCATGACGTCAGTTCCAATGCTCCATTCCTCCTTAAGGACTTAGTAAGCCTAGTTCTTCCGGTGTTGTCTCAAAGTCAGCAATAAAGGGACTGGGGTCCAATTTTATTTCATTTTCTGTAGAAACTGGTGTAAGCCACACTGATTTCCTAAAATAAAATAAAATAAAATAAAATAAAATAAAATAAAATAAATAAAAAACAGGAGCAGATATTGTTGGCATACTTGGCACCTGGTCTCCCTGAGTCTATACTTGGGTCCAAGTTATTAAGTTATTTTTACCCCTGTGGCCATTTTCAGTATAGTGATTTATTTGAAATGCTTGCTTTAGTCAAGTCCCAAAATGCCCAGGAAAATGGATTCAGACAAGTAGATCCTAAGAATAGTAAGTAAAAGCAGCCAGAGTTTAATCTGAACTAGTGTAGTAGTGGCACAGG